GATCAAACTTGAACACAGTTTTTGTTTGTCGGTGGTTCCCAGTGAATGATAACGATAACTCACGATTCTTAGCACTGTCACTTCTAATTATCTGCTGAATTGTCAGATAAAAGTGAGATACGTACCTCACAAAAAACAAGCCACACATTAATTATTATTTTAAATATAAGGCAACTCTTCAGTCAGAACTGTCTTCAATGTATTATTTTCTCTGTCTTCTCACTGTTCATTTCAAAAGTGAAGCAACAGGATGTGGGGAATGTTGCTCTTGTTGGCTAACCACCCAGAGTCCTGCCGTCTTCTTCTCTAGTGAAAACTCATAAAGTAGCACATCAACAAATACCTACTACAAATGGCAGGGTGTGGACATGTTACCAGCAATGGTACCAAAGCCTCCTTGCAGAGTCTGAGTGAGAAAGACCAGACATGCAACTGATGGACACATTTTTATGTGGTCCAGTCACAGTCAGCAGGGGTCTGAAAGCAGAGTCTATGCCTGGGCAGACGGCAGTGCCCAGCACAAGTCTGCTGAGTGACACTTCCTAAGATGCAGGCTACATCTACACATCTTGCTGGCTATCTAACTAATTTGTTAGACAAATATTTACTGAACACCTGTGCAGGCAGTATGTGCCAGGTACTATGCTAGGTATGAGGATACAGCATGGGAGAAAAACCACACAAAACCCTTGCCCTCTTGAAACTGAACCTCAGGTGTGTGTAAGAAGCAGACGATAAGCAAGCAAACAAACAAAAACCTAAATATGTTACATCAGATGGTAAGTGCAAAGTTGAAATGTGAAAGGTGGGGACGGGGAGTGCTGGGGCAGAGGTGGAGGAGGCATGTTTGCCACTTTATATAGGTGATTAAAAAAGACTTCTCTAATAGGGTGACATGTAAGTAGAGACCAAAGGGAGGACCAGACAACAATATGGATCTGAGAGAAGAGTGTATAGGGCTGAGGGGATAGCAAGCGTACAGGTCCTGAGGCAGGAGCACGCTGGGTGTGTTTTAGGGGCAGTAAGGAGGACAGTGTGGTTGAGTAGAGTAGACAGGGGAGAATGGTAGGAGATGAGGTCAGAGAAGAAGGTCCAGGTCATAGATGGCACTACTAGAAGGACTCTGGATTGCACTTCAGTGGGAGAGAAGAGGCCATTGGAGGTTTATGATCTGTGACATGATCTAACTGCCCTATAACTAGGTAGAGTAGGAAGAGGCTAATAACTGTAACAGCCATTAGGAACTCAGAAGACAGCTATAAAAATCTAGGAGAGAGACAGTGGCTGCGTGGACCATGACGATAGTGCTGGAGATGAAGGGAAGTGGTTAGATTCTGGACATAATCTGAGGGTAGAGAAAACTAGATTTGATAATGGATTGTAATGTGGGATATGAAAGAAAGAGTCAAGAATTTTTAATTCTCAAAGCTGATAGCTAATACTGAAAACATAAAAATAATTTTGATTAAACATTTAAATTTTTATTAGCCTACCCACCTTAACACACTAATTCAGTCCATAAAGGAAATGTTTAATCTGAGATTACAGGTTAGTTCTGAATTCCATTAATAGTCTTTAGAGCTTTTGATTAAAAAAATTTAGTTGGTTGCAGGGGCTCCTAAATTCGTTTTTTTAAAATTGAAGTATAGTTGATGTACAATGTTATCTAAGTTACACATGTACAATATAGTGATTCACAATTTTTAAAGGCTATATTCCACCTACAGTCATTATAAAATTTTAGATAAATTAGTTTTATAAAAAAATACTATAATCAATTTGCTAGGCATTAATACCTTACTTAGTTCTGATGGTAATCAAATAACTTCATATTGTTATACATATGTCAAATGCAATGTAATATTCAAAAAGGTATTCTGCTCAGCGATACTCAGTTATATTCCACCAGGTCCTCACCAGCTGCACACCCTACTCGAGACTGCTGCATCCCATCAATGTGCATCCCTCCCTGGCCTTACTTTTGGTTCGGCCCCCTCACTGGAATAATTCCCATGAGATCAGGGACCTTGTATACATATTTTTCACTACTATATCTCCAGTGCCTCAAGACGGAAATCAATAAATAATTGTTGAATCAATGAACCAATATTCACATATTTCCTACAGAGAGAATAACAGTAAGCAGAGTACTGTGGGAATGCAGAGATGAGTAAAGCTCGGCCTGATAGAGTTCTTAATCCACACAGAGATGCAGACACAAGAAACGAGCTATACCTAAAATAAGAGCTATAGCAAAAGTTCAAGGAAAATGCCACAGAAACACACTGGAAGGAGAAATTAATTCCAGTTTTGGAGACGTCACTAAAGAGGTGACACTGACCTAAGTTATAAAATTAAAGTTATAAAATTAAAAGCATAAAAAAGAAAAAGGCAACTCTAGAATAGAGTGACAGCAAGAGCCAAAAAAACTAAATTTAATTACACTAAAGATTTTGCAAAGTACCCAGCACACTTGGGGAGTGGCAAGCAGGGCTGGGAATGAACTGCATGAAGAGACGTCTTGGGTGATGAAGTCAGGAAGTGACGCTGGGGCCCAGTGAGGAGAGAGACTGTGGACCATGGGCTAAGGACATTTAAAAGGGCTTGAAATAAAGCCCAGAGAAGTACACAGGTGCCATTTTCATTTACTATAATAAAGAGAAGACAAAAGGTGGTTTGGGGGAATGAGAGTTTGTCTACTGGGTATAGAGTTTCAGTACTGCAAGATGAAAACAGGCTTATTATCTGGTTAAGACTCTATACTCAGGGGTACAGAGCATAGCAGAGACCAACAGATAGAAAGATTAAACAACTGATTAGGTGAAAGACTCATAAATGAGCTGATTAAAAACTGGAGAGGTGTCATTCATTTCCAAGATGTAGATACGGACAAGGACCTCGGTGCTCAGTGATGGGAAGCCATTATTTGTTGCTCTAACTTTCAGACTGTTGCACTAACTCATGTTCCAGCATCCGTCCCGTCAGGATTAAGACACTTGTACTGTCTGTGTGAAATTAATCTGTTGTTGTTAAGCATCCTGGACAATCTGATAATGTACCGTTTTATTGTCTTTTGAATCTGCATCAGTAGAGACAACTTTCAAAACAGGTGTCCCAGTAAGAGATGATTCTGATAATACACTGCACAGTGGGACCTCCCTGACTGCCCTCCCCAACCCTGCTCTCAGGACAATGCAAGCAAAATATATGTCCTTCAAGCAGAAGGCTACATGCTTATTTTCCGGGGAAACTGAAGAGCCCAAGAGAAAAAAAATCTCCAGGTATCAGCACCTGGGGTTTCCCCAACAAAAAGAGCTCTTGTCATCACGCCATCTTATAGGTGAA